GTCCATTTAGTTTTGCTTTCATCTGGTGCTCGTTCTGTATTTAGTCACTGGCATGGTTATAAGTGCACCGCTAGTTAGATTAACTGGAAAATAAACAGAAATCAGCTGTGCCTGAACTTTACACATTTATCATATCAGGTTACTTAATACCAAGAAACCTCTCTCGTTCACTGTCAACTTTTAATAGCTCATACTAAGCATTCTTTCTCGGGATCTCTACGCGAATCAAAGCACACATCAAAGTTAAAGTATGAATTCATCAAAGAAACAAATATCATATGAAGAAACGAAGAATATAGATTTATTACAAATGTATGACGGATAAAGCGATGTATCGTGGACAGCACTCCCCTCCTCCATCACCCCCCCTCCTCCCCCATCCTGAATGGTGTAACGCTTCAAGATATGGAGCCACCTGCAGATAATATTATCATTCGGGAATATGACACACACTAGACTTTGAGTGAGACTAAGTTCACCGAAACCAATAATCCGCCCAATTATCTCTCTCTCTCTCTCTCTCTCTCTCTCTCTCTCTCTCTCTCTCTCTCTCTCTCTCTCTCTCTCTCTTCTCTCTCAAGTGACCTGCCAGACACCTCGTATCACTCGCGCGCAAAAGTAAACACAACCTACTTAGTTTCATCTTCACAAAGGGAATTCCCGAAGACAAATATAGGATCCTGTATTGCCCGTTATCTGACACTTCCGACCACGACGCTAAGTCATCAGATGTGACGTACGAGCGGCCTATGTCCTGGAGGCGGAGGATGTCATATGACGTCAGCTAATACAAAAGAATGACGTCATGGGAAGAAGCGACCTCTAGTGGACACTTATTACGATTGCGTAAGGCACAAGCACACCCACGTGCAAGCATTATACCCCCGCGCAGGCATACACCCAAACACAAACGCACTACTCGAGAGAACGCTTTCACAAAAACCCCGACAACAAACGAATTAACAAACAAACAAGAAAAAAAGATCTATCGTAAAAACCCCAAGCCAAGGATTAAAAAAAAAAAGAAAGAGAAAGAAAACAATTTTTTTTTTTTTTTTGAATACCATCTACCATAAACTCCCAAAAAATCACAAAAAAAAAACACAGACAAACAGAAGAATAAGTTTCAGCGTCGAGAATAGAAATAACCCGCGGAGTAAAATTGTTTTGCGTGTTTTAAAGGAGTCAGCGAAATAGCGTGTAGAATAGCATTAGACTAAATTCTCCTGAAGGAGCTCACAGATCCCATGGCCTCTGTGCTGACCTTTGGTGTGTATTACCGTCTATATAATTTTATACTTCTCTATGCCGGCCAACATTCTTCGCGCATAATCTGAATATTTCAATTATATTTTTTTGAATTTTATATAGGCTGAATTATTATTATTTGAAGCGCCGTTGAATTCTCCGTAAGGGTGATTTGAACTCATCTTGATTAATTGGTTTTAATAGTCTTATATATATGATGATATATATCTTGTTGCTTTATATAAAAAGTGCTTTAACGGGCAGCTAAAACAAGGCATATAAACTATTATCTAAATCATTCTTCATGATAAACACAAAGTGGTCTTTCATGACAAAATCTTCGTTCGTTACGATAATTCATCTTGTAAATTCAGTCCAATACAACAATGTCCTCTTCGTCTACTCTTAATATTCCTTCTTCTTCTTTTTCTTCTTCTTCTTCTTCTTTTACTACTACCAATTCTTCTTCTTCTTTCTTCTTTTTCTGCTACACAACAACAACAACAACAACAACAGCAGCAGCAATAACAACAACAAAACAACAACAACTACTACTACTATACTACTACCACTACAACTTCTTGTTTTTCTTTTCCTTCTTCTTCCTCCCCTTCTTCTCTCTCCCTCCTTCCTTTCCCTTCTACTGCATCTACCGTCAAGCGTGAAACATTAAAATTCACTTCCCTTTAAATATCATTCGATATGGAATTAGACACTCAAAAAAATAGAATAGTTATGAAAGTGTAGAAGAAAGTAACATCAAAGAATAAAGAAAAGATCACGTTGAACAACACGTATTTTGATACCCCTACTCCCACTCTAACCCCCCCCCCCCCCGGGCGTCGTCGTGAGGGTCGCTGACTAAAACCCATTTCGAAAAGAGTCTGTACTTGTTAACACATCCAAGTAAATAAATGAATAAATAGTGAGGTGAATAAATGACAGTGAATGTATAATACATTGATGATAAATGAATTTGATAAATACATTGACAGATAAATGATAGATTAATTAATAAAATATATAGAGGAATGGGTAAACAGATGAATAAATAAGCACTAATAAACACGAAAAACAATGAAAGTATAACGGTGATGCACACTATAACCTTGTGTGCGAGGCGGCTAAATACTCCCAAGGATGATGCACCCCCCTCCACCCTCCCCCACGAGAAAATTCTGCGGGCGCCACTGCAAGCCCTCGCGAGGTTGAATGCTGCACGCTGCCTCTCCTCTCATACGCAGGCACTTCA